CTTTGGAAACCAGGATTAGCTTACCGCAAATATGGGTATGTAAAAGTAGGCACTGAGTTATGCAATATTTATGCAAGTGGAATTCTTCCAATATTTTCTGGAAGAGAGGTACTTTTCAATAATGCCATTCTGTAGACCAACATCTTAGAGAAAGTGCTTATGAGTATGCTTTTTTTTTTAAAAATGAGTGTTCTTAAGAATAAAAAGGGAAGAAAGTGTGAGAGCAAGATAAATCTCAATTTTTAAGTAACTAATGACTAATTTCAATAAAGTTTATTTAGAAATAAAATAAGCTCAGGATATATTTTATATGTAAGTTCTCTCCACTACCTTTTATCCATTTATTAAATTCTGAAAAAAAAATTGCTCAGATTTACAAGCTTCTAACCTCTCTCCTTCAGTTCACAATAGCAAGCTTGTGTGTCAGGAACGAACTATCTCCACCTACATCATGTGTGCAGTAAGCCCTCTCCATCACTGTCTCCATCTCTTCACTGTGTATTACCTATTTTCATCTTGAGCCTCTTCAGTCTGATCCCTGATCTGATGGTAGAATTGAACTATATGTCCCCTCCCACCATTATACATAGCCCTAAACTCCTATTTTCCTATGTTTCTTTTTTTTTTTTTTTTTTTTTTTTTTTTGCGATACGCAGGCCTCTCACTGTTGTGGCCTCTCCCGTTGCGGAGCACAGGCTCCGGACGCGCAGGCTCAGCGGCCATGGCTCACGGGCCCAGCCGCTCCGTGGCATGTGGGATCTTCCCGGATGGGGGCACGAACCTGTGTCCCCTGCATCGGCAGGCGGACTCTCAACCACTGAGCCACCAGGGAAGCCCCTATGTTTCTATTTTTTATTAGTTTTTTCTTTTTCCTCTTGACTTCTGAAATCTGATCATTATCTGAAATTCAGTCTATAGCCGTTGGTTATCTCTTCAAAAGTCTTCTTTTAGAGAACTTATTCACTCTCAAGTTTTCAACTCTCAATTTGATTCCTAAATCCTAGTCCCAACTGCCAGCTGGGTATTACCATTAAATTATGACCTCATCTAGAATAGAACTCATCATCTCGCTCTCTAAGGTCACTATTCTCATTCTTCATTATTTTATTACTGAGTTCTAACAATTCTTTCGTAGAGTCTCTGAAATCCATCTCTCGATTTCAGTTTACAATACAATTACCTTTCTTAGGCCATGGCCTTATCATCACATTGATTTCTCCCTGCCTGGTGTCTGACATTGGGTCTCTCAAAAGAAAAGCTAAGATAGGCTTGCATATTGGCAGTTTATGTGGGCAGTGATCCCAAGAAGCATGATTAAGAGGCTGAGGGAGTGGGACAAAGAAGGAGGGAGAGCCAGTCCAAAGATGCCTTATTGAATTGGCCCCCACTGTGAGTAACTGATGCCAGGTCTCACCAGGATCTTCTAGTGAGCCTTATGAAATGCATCTCTGGAAATCCACTGGGAGATGAAAGGAGGAAATATTTATTTATAAGATCCTGTCCCCCATTGATTAAAGATGGCTCTGCGGGCAATAACTCCCCTGTACTTCCTGATTGTACATGCATGAGACTATGCATTTCTACTGGCCTTCGAGAAGCTCTAGGCAGGAAGTAGTAGGTAACTGGCAGGAGCTTACATGAGTTTTGTCCAGTTATAGGTCTTTTGTCCAAGACCTATAAGATGTGGCACAGAGGGAAATGAGTGGCTTATAAAAGGCATATGATGTATCTTATTATTTAATTTGCCGTGTGTATGTCTCTTGTCTCTTCAACAGGACTCTAAATGTCTCGGTGGCATATACCCGATCAGTAGAGAATTTTACCAACAAATACGACTGCTACTTCCAGGCTCTTCCACCAGCCAAAGCACCCCCTGCCACACACACACACACACACACACACACACACACACACACACACACAGAGTTTTTAAAGTTTGTATTTCGAATTGGTTTTTTCATGATATCACTGTGCTCCTATTATCTGGTTTCCTTAAGACCATAGAACATCTATGCAGGAAGTCTGGCTAATTTAGCAACATAGCCACTGGCTAAAGAAATATACCAAGGGAGTGGGCTGTCTAAAGTTGGAATGCTGGACTCATTATCCTTCACATTCCAGCCAACTAGCCTAGTAACTTAAGTAACTAACCTAGTAACTTAAGTAACTAGCCTAGTAACTTAAGGTTAGTTTTCATCACATTTTCTTATTTTTACATCCTACAGCTTAGACAGATATTTTTTGCATTCTCTAATCTAGTCCATCAAGATGGGTTGGAAGACTTTAGCTGTTTTAATGATCTAAAACTATGTTTATGTCCTACATAAATAGAGTTTATTTCTAAAATGTTCTAAAAATGAAAAGTGAGAAGACAAATTCACCTTTTTATCCTCTGGGTACAATATAACATCCATAGAATTTATCAAGCCCTTTACTTACTTGTCAGTGGTTTTCAAATGTTGAAGACAAGTTAGCAGAATACCTCTCCTAGAGGAAGTCTGAGGAGTTCTTCTGACCTGAAATAAATGTCCTTAATGTTTTTAAGGGAGAAAAATTCAAGAATTTGAAAAATGTATTCATTCACTTAACAAATATTCATCGAGGTTGTCGTGAAAAAGCACTACAGTAGTCCCCCCTTATCCACTTTTGCTTCTCACCATTTCAATTACCTGCAGGCAACTGTGGTCCAAAAACATTAAATGGAAAATTCCAGAAATATATAATGTATACATTTTAAATTGTGCGCCGTTCAGCGTAGCATGATGAAACCTCGTGCCATCCTTCTCCGTTGTGCCTGGGATGTGAACCACCCTTTTTCTGTACATCCCACCCATTAGTCATTTGGTAGCCCTCTGGGTAGCAGTATTGTGTCCTAGTAACCCTTATTTTACTTAATAATGACCCCAAAGAGCAAGACAATGCTGACAATTCAGATATTCTCTTACTGTGCCTAATTTAGAAATTAAACTTTATCATAGGTATGGATGTACAGGAAAAAACCTAGTAGTATAGGTGGGGTGCAGCACTACCTGTGGTTTCAGGCATCCACTGGGGATGTATGGGCCATACCTGCCATGGATAAGGGGGACTACTTCACTTCAAAACCTAGTTTTAATCGCTTCAAAACCTAGTGTTTATTGTTCTACTTATAAAAAATTAACTATACTCTCTGCAAAATAAATAAACAAACAAAAAACTTAGAAACATAAAAGCACCTGTAATCACACCACTCAAAGAGAAACACTATTAATCTCTTATGGATGTCTAGTGCTTCTGTGGTGGAGTCCTCTTGAAAATGCTTTCATGGGAACAAATAGAAGGTTAAAAAAATTCAAGAATCTCTATTCCAGTAGACTCCATGTTTTCCCGTCATCAGGATTATGTTTTACTCTCCATGGTATCTACCGCAAGGGCTGACACATATTATGGGTTAATAAAAATGTTTGGGGGGGCAGTTCCTGAGTCTCATTAAAAACTAAACCAAAAAAAAAAATACATTAATAAGTCCAGTTCCCCAGAGTGTCCGCTGTTAAGTGAGACATTTAGAAGGTTTAGTCACATTAACTCCTTCTGATCATAAAGGGACATTCACCAACTGTAAATAGAGTTTCCATAGGTTCAACACAAGATGATAAGTTTTGGTGTTTATTAGGAATGGAATTTGGTGGCACAGGCAAGAAAAATCTATACTTACCTGGTTGTTGAAAATCAGGAGTGTGGTATCATTTGAAGCACACATGGTCATGGTGTCAAGTTCTCAACACTCTTTCATATCACTTCAATCAGAGGAGTAAGACAAAGACTGATTTATCGTATCAGTGACTCATTTTCACATATGATAAAAGGTGACTGTATTGGGGAGATCTTCAAGATGGCAGACGAGTAAGACGTGGAGATCACCTTCCTCCCTACAAATACATCAAAAATACATCTACATGTAGAATAACTCCTACAGAATACCTACTGAACCCTGGCAGACTTCAGACCTCCTAAAAGATGCCTGAGGGAGACCTACACACAGAGGCGGGGCCAAAACCAAAGCTGAACCCCAGGAGCTATGTGAACAAAGAAGAGAAAGGGAAATTTCTTCATGCAGCCTCAGGAGCAGTGGATTAAATCCCCACAATCAAACTGATGTATCCCGCATCTGTGGAATACCTGAATAGACAATGAATCATCCCAAAATTGAGGTAGTGGAATTTGCGAGCAACTGTAGACTTGGCGTTTGCTGTCTGCGACTGATTTCTTTCTGATTTTTATGTTTATCTTAGTTTTGTTTTTAACGCTTGTTATCATTGGTGGCTTTGTTTATTGGTTTGGTTGCTCTCTTCTTTTTTTAAATTATAATTATTTATTTTAAAATTATTTTTTTCTTTCTTTTTTCTCCCTTTTCTTCTGAGCCTTGTGGCTGACAGGGTCTTGATGCTCCAGCCTGGTGTCAGGCCTGGGCCTCTGAGGTGGGAGAGCCAAGCTCAGGACATTGGACAACCAAAGTCCTCCCAGCCCCATGTAATATCAATCGGCAAGAGCTCTCCCAGAGATCTCCATCTCAATGCTACAACCCAGCTCCACCCAACGGCCAACAAGCTCCAGTGCTGGATGCCCCGTGCCAAACAACTAACAAGACAGGAACACAACCACACCCATTAGCAGAGAGGCTGCCTAAAATCATACTAAGTTCACAGATACCCCAAAACACATCATCAGATGTGGCCCTGCCCACCAGAAAGACAAGATCCAGCTCCACCCACAAGAACAGAGGCACCAGTCCCCACCACCAGGAAGCCTACACAACCCACTGAACCTACTTCTTCCATTGGGGGCAGATACCAAAAACAATGGGAACTACGAACCTGCAGCCTGCAAAATGGAGACCCCAGGGGCTTCCCTGGTGGTGCAGTGGTTGAGAGTCCGCCTGCCGATGCAGGGGACGTGGGTTCATGCCCCTGTCCAGGAGGATCCCAAATACTGTGGAGCGGCTGGGCCCATGATCCATGGCAGCTGAGCCTGTGCGTCCGGAGCCTGTGCTCTGCAACCAGAGAGGCCACAACAGTGAGAGGCCTGTGTACCGCAAAAAAAAAAAAAAAAAAGGAGACCCCAAACACAGTAGGTTAAACAAAATGAGAAGACAGAAAAATACAGAGCAGATAAAGGAGCAAGGTAAAATCCCACCATACCAAACAAATGAAGAGGAAATAGGCAGTCTACCTGAAAAAGAATTCAGAGTAATGATAGTAAAGATGATCCAAAATCTTGGACATAGAGTGGAGAAAATACAAGAAACATTTAACAAGGACCTAGAAGAACTAAAGAGCAAACAAACAATGATGAACAGCACAATAAATGAAATTTAAAATTCTCTAGAAGGAATCAATAGCAGAATAACTGAGGCAGAAGAACAGATAAGACAGACAAAACACTCTTTAAAATAAAGACTATTACAAGAGACAAAGAAGGACACTACATAATGATCAAGGGATCAATCCAAGAAGGAGATATGACAATTGTAAATACTTATGCACCCAACACAGGAGCACCTCACTACATAAGGCAAATACTAACAGCCATAAAGGGGAAATTGACAGTAGAACAATAATAGTAGGGGACTTTAACAACCCACTTTCACCAATGGACAGATCATCCAAAATGAAAATAAATAAGGAAACAAAGGCTTTAAATGACAACTTAGACCAAATGGGCTTAATTGATATTTATAGGTCTTTCCATCCAAAAACAACAGAATACACTTTCTTCTCAAGTGCTCACAGAACATTCTCAAGGATACATCATATCTTGGGGCACAAATCAAGCCTCGGTAAATTTAAGAAAATTGAAATTTTATCATGTATCTTTTCCGAACACAATGCTATGGGACTAGATATCAGTTACAAGAAAAAAATGTAAAACAAAATGAACACATGGAGGGTAAACAATACGCTACTAAATAAACCAAGAGATCACTGAAGAAATCAGAGAAGAAATTAAAAAATTCCTAGAAACAAATGACAATGAAAAGACGACACAAAACCTATGGGATGCAGCAAAAGCAGTTCTAAGAGGGAAGTTTATAGCAATACAATCCTACCTCAAGAAACAAGAAACATCTCAAATAAACAACCTAAACTTACACCTAAAGCAATTAGAGAAAGAAGAACAAAAAACCCCCAAAGTTAGCAGAAGGAAAGAAATCATAAAGATCAGATCAGAAGTAAATGAAAAAGAAATTAAGGAATCAATAGCAAAGATCAATAAAACTAAAAGCTGGTTCTTTGAGAAGATAAACGAAATTGATAAACCATTAGCCAGACTGATCAGGAAAAAAAGGGAGAAGACTCAAATCAATAGAATTAGAAATGAAAAAGGAGAAGTAACAACTGACAATGCAGAAATACAAAGTTTCATGAGAGATTACTACGAGCAACTGTATGCCAATAAAATGGATAACTTGGAAGAAATGGACAAATTCTTAGAGAAGCACAAGTTTCTGAGACTGAACCAGGAAGAAATAGAAAATATGAACAGACCACTCACAAGCACTGAAATTAAAACCATGATTAAAAATTTTCCAATAAACAAAAGCCCAGGACCAGATGGCTTCAGAGTCAAATTCTGTCAAATATTTAGAGAAGAGCTAATGCCTATCCTTCTCAAACTCTTCCAAAATATAGCAGAGGGAGGAACAATCCCAAACTCATTCTATGAGGCCACCATCACCCTGATACCAAAACCAGACAAAGATGTCACAAAAAAAGAACACTACAGGCCAGTATCACTGATGAGCATAGATGCAAAAATCCTCAACAAAATACTAGCAAACAGAATCCAACAACACATTGAAAGGATCATACACGATGATCAAGTGGGTTTTATGCCAGGAATGCAAGGATTCTTCAATATATGCAAATCAATCAATGTGATACACCATATTAACAAATTGAAGGAGAAAAACCATATGATCATCTCAATAGATGAAGAAAAATCTTTCAACAAAATTCAACACCTATTTATGATAAAAACTCTCCAGAAAGTAGGCATAGAGGGAAGTTACCTCAACATAATAAAGGCCATATGTGACAAACCCACAGCCAACATCGTCCTCAATGGTGAAAAACTGAAACCATTTCCTCTAAGATCAGGAACAAGGCAAGGCTGCCGACTCTCATCACTGTTATTCAACATAGTTTTGGAAGTTTTAGCCACAGCAATCAGAGAAGAAAAAGACATAAAAGGAATCCAAATCGGAAAAGAAGAAGTAAAGCTGTCACTGTTTGCAGATGACATGATACAATACATACAGAATCCTAAAGATGCTACCAGAAAACTATTAGAGCTAATCAATGAATTTGGTAAAGTAGCAGGATATAAAATTAATGCACAGAAATCTCTTGCTTTGCTATATACAATAATGATGAAAAATCTGAAAGAGAAATTAAGGAAACACTCTCACTTACCACTGCAACAAAAAGAATAAAATACCTAGGAATAAACCTGCCTAAGGCGACAAAAGACCTGCATGCACAAAACTATAAGACACTGATGAAAGAAATTAAAGACAAGACAAACAGATGGAGAGATATACCATGTTCTTGGATTGGAAGAATCAACATGGTGAAAAAGACTATACTACCCAAAGCAATCTACAGATTCAATGAAATCCCTATCAAACTACCAATGGCATTTTTCACAGAACTAGAACGAAAAATTTCACAATTTGTATGGAAACACAAAAGACCATGAATAGCCAAAAACTCTTGAGAAAGAAAAAGGGATCTGGAGAAAACAGGCTCCCAGACTTCAGAATATACTACAAAGCTACAGGAATCAAGACAGTATGGTACTGGCACAAAAACAGAAATATAGATCAATGGAACAGGATAGAAAGCCCAGAGATAAACCCACGCAAATATAGTCACCTTATGTTTGATAAAGGAGGCAAGGGTATACAATGGAGAAAAGACAGCCTCTTCAATAAGTGGTACTGGGAAAACTGGACAGCCACATGTAAAAGAATGAAATTAGAACACTGCCTAACACCATACACAAAAATAACTCAAAATGGATTAAAGAACTAAATATATGGCCAGACAATATAAAACTCTTAGAGGAAAACATAGGCAGAACACTCTATGACATAAATCACAGCAAGATCCTTTTTGATCCATCTCCAAGAAAAATGGAAATAAAAACAAAAATAAACAAATGAGATGAAACAATGAAACTTAATGAATGAAACCTAATTAATTAATGAAACCTAATGAAACTCAAAGCTTTTGCACAGCAAAGGAAACCATAAACAAGACCAAAAGACAACCCTCAGAAAGGGAGAAAATATTTGCAAATGAAGCAACAGGCAAAGGATTAATCTCCAAAATATACAAGCAGCTCATGCAGCTCAATAACAAAAAAACAAACAACCTTATCCAAAAATGGGCAGAAGACCTAAATAGACATTTCTCCAAAGAAGATATACAGATTGCCAACAAACACATGAAAGGATGCTCAACATCATTAATCATTACAGAATTGCAGCTCAAAACTACAATGAGGTATCACCTCACACCAGTCAGAATGGCCATCATCAAAATATCTACAAACAATAAATGCTAGAGAGGGTGTGGAGAAAAGGGAACCCTATTGCACTGTTTGTGGGAATGTAAATTGATACAGCCACTATGGAGAACAGTATGGAGGTTCCTTAAAAAACTAAAAATAGAACTATGATATGACCCAGAAATCCCACCACTGGGCATATACCCTGAGAAAACCATAATTCATAAAGGGTCATGTACCACAATGTTCATTGCAGCATTATTTACAATAGCCAGGACATGGAAGCAGCCTAAGTGCTCATCGACAGATGAATGGATAAAGAAGATGTGGCACATATATACAATGGAATATTACTCAGCCATAAAAAGAAATGAAATTGAGCTATTTGTAGTGAGGGTGATGGACCTAGAGTCTGTCATACAGAGTGAAGTAAGTCAGAAGGAGAAAAACAAATACCATATGCTAACACATATACAGAATCTAAGAAAAAAAAAAAAAAAAGAAGTGGTTCTGATGAACCTGGTAGCAGGATAGGTATAAAGACTCAGACATAGGGAATGGACCTGTGGACACAGGGAGGGGAAAGGGTAAGCTGGGACGAAGTGACAGAATAGCATTGACATATATACACTACCAAATGTAAAACAGATAGCTAGTGAGGAGCAGCTGCATAGCACAGGGAGATCAGCTCAGTGCTTTGTGACCACCTAGAGGGGTGGGATAGGGAGGGTGGGAGGGAGACTCAAGAGGGAATTTACATGGGGATATATGTTTGCATATAGCTGATTCACTTTGTTATACAGCAGAAACTACCACAACATTTTAAAGCAATTATACTCCAATAAAGATGTTAAAAAAAGGTGATTATATTAGTAAAATTATCATTTTAATATTTGTGCCAGAAGATTGAAATCAAGCCCATTATTTTCCTTTTGTTTGGGAATTACATAGTACTTTCCTTCAGAAAAATTTGTTTTCCAGCAGTTATTCGTATTATGGATATGAACAATTAGCCTTTTTTAATATGGAATATTTTCCCTTCTACACTAGTATTCAAAGGAAGATTCTGATACATCTTTGGAGAAGAGAACCCATCTTTGTACCCTCAGAACATAAAACAAATATTTCCAATCTTCTTCAAAGAATGGAGATGAGTCCCATGTTTGTAAAACCAAGTTCTTTTTTTCCCTTAAGGAAATGAAACCAGCTTTTGTTTTTTGACAATAACTTTTGCTATAGTTTTACTATGCAGTCAAGCTTTTTATGAAGGAAAGCGTAGATCCTTTGAGTTGAGAGATTAAAAAAAAAGTAATAGGTCTGACACAGGAGGCCTGGGGGCGATGGATGATGGTACCATTAGAATCAGTTATGTATGACTAGTTGATGCCTGTGATAACAGAATTCAACCTTGGTCCTAAGTCCCTAGCACTGGTTTGTTTAGCTGAATTTCTTCCTCGGTCCTGGTTCTCATTCTGCTCCAATATCGCAAGAGTAATAAGAATCCTGTCCAGCCTGTGTGAGGCTCCTTTACTGGGGCTTGGTATCAGCCTCTCCCGTTGAATGGCAGGTCAGTAAGGAGGACCATTATTTAGGGACAGGCCATGCAGGTGTTACTTCTGGTTTGTCTTCCAAGGCCAGCTAACTGCTTTACCTAGAATCCATGTTGAACAGTTTTTTTCATCAAACCGTCTGTACCAAGATGGCAGATCATCGGTCATTTAGAAGTCAGGCCTCTTCCTCACCTCTCCACCTTGTGAAAAATCAGCTTTATCCCAGTCGGTTCTGAGAGGGCCAAGTTGTTCAGTTAAGAGGACAGGTTTTCAGACTATCCATCTGTTAGCTAGAGAAAATAATATGCTATGGGATGAATGGTCAATAGCATAATATGAGAAACTAAGAATAATCAATGTCTTTAAGATCCCATCAAGAAGGAAAAATATATGCAAAATAGCGTCAATCACTAGTTTGTAGCAGTTTTCAATAAGGCACCTCTGTTTTAAGTTATGTATCTCAAAATGTGACAAATGCCACTTTTTCAAAATAAGGCTTAAAATTCTGAAGTATGGAGTTTGAATTATCAAGTCATATGAATGGTATAGTAAAGGAAAATTCAGGCTAATTGACTGAAAAAGCCCTCAATTACCTTGGCAATGTAGAAAAATTAGTGTGTCCTATCCCGATTTACCCAAGTAATTATGGTTATAGACCTGAACTATTGCCTTTTTATTGTAAATAATGTTCTGATTTGAGTTGGCAGTCTTTTAAGTGACGTTTTAGGGGTCAGCTTCTTTCTTAGGAGACAGAAAACTTAAGAAAGACGTCTTTTAGAAGACCTTGCTTTGTAATAGTTGCTAGTAAACCAGGAATAAATTCCACAACCACAGAGACTGAGTCTGAAGTTGAGTCTATGCTGACATTTCATAGATAAAATTCTAATTTTCTAGTGTAAAAAGACATAATCAAATGCAAACATAACTGGTTTTAAAAGAAGTTAATGATTTATTTTATTGAAAATATTAAAATTGTTTGTTTCTAATCAAATTTCCCAAGGCTGCCAAACTAGCTCTCTCTTACGCATTTTGTCAGGCTGTTGTAAACGGATCTTGACTTTATTTTATTCAAGTCTACTGTAGAATCACTGAGGGGCTCTTAGCTCTAGAATTCACTCCCCCTGGTGGTCCAACAAATTGTAAACTTACTAGCCTTCAGGGAATGGCATTAAATATTTTCATCTTGGCAACTTTGAATGCAAAATGATATAATGCTTTCATGTCAAATGACCAACTATAGTTTTTTTAAATGCATTTTCACAAACAAAATACAGTATATGTTTTTAGAAACTAGTAAATAATTCTATTAATATATTTATACCAATTGTTTAATATCATAATAATAAATAAAAGTTTTATTGACAAACAAAATAGCAATTACCAATTTAAAGTAGTCAGTTAGTAAGCCTGTTTATACTCCACTGCATTTGTGTAGAGAGCACCTAACATATTTTTATATTGATAATGCTTTCCCAGGCAAAGTAAACCAAATATTTATCTGGTGAGTTGAGGCAGCAGAAGAGAACATTGGCAATTTATGTGTTCAAGCCAATTTGAAGAGAAGTTACATACCTCCTGCAAGTAATATAAACTAATATCCAAATCTTCTGACCTATCCTAAACTTACTAGGATTTTGCTCACTCCAGCTCCTGAGACCTTCTATGAAAGTCTATAACATTATCAAATGGCAAAAAAGATGACGTCTATTAATAAGATGTATTTTTCCCAGTAACTCATAGGGTGCTATATATGCTAAGCATTTATAAAACAACCGATGACATGAGAGGGTTACCAAAGCAAAGATAAAATTTTTCTGTTTCTCCTTTGAGGGCCAAAAAGCCGAATAAAATGAAGGAGATATAGGTAAAAAACAAAAAAAAAACCCCTCAAAAAACCCCACCTTGAGTGACAACCCAGAACATCCATGGGAAGCCAGGTAGAAGGTGGAAAAGGTAGGAACAGATCTTAGCAGATATTAATTTTCTTGAGTCACCCAAATTATTTAGGACAACTGCAATTAATTCTAAGGCAAGTTTAACAATCAAGAAGAAATTGATTTGGAAAAGTTAGGTTGAGAGTTTAATTGCATATGAGCAAAAAGGGATGAATCAGTAATTGAATAACTATATAAGAAATGCTGATCCAGGAATTAAGCAAACTGGCTGAGATCTATTAAACGGTTCAATCTTCCCATAATTTCTCTTCTGCTACTGGTGTCAAGGCAGAAAGAGTAATTTTCAAATATCGATAGTAACCGCAAACATATTTGGAGTGCTGTGCTAAGAGCTTCACCAGATTAACCTCAGTTATTCTCACAGCATCCTGTTGAGACCTACTCAGACCCCCAGAGTTGGTAAGAAGATAATTTTAAACTAAAGACAGTTGAGATTTTTTTTTTAATTTTATTTTATTTATTTTTTTATACAGCAGGTTCTTATTAGTTATCCATTTTATACATATTAGTGTATAAAACAGTCGATATTTAACAGATGCAGAAAGAAGTCTTTTCAGAGCTTCTCTTACCAAAATAAAGGCAGAAATTTCTGGGAGTGAGGATGTCATAAATTCCCTCTCTAGGGGAGCTTTACTGGCCAGAAAGAAGATGGAGAAGACCACCGGCACCTGCATCAACAAACATTATCACAATCTTTCTTACTTCCCATTTGTTCCCCTAAAAACGCATTTGTTCCTCCCATAGAAGCCTTTTCTCCCCCTGCCCATTCCTGTTAACTGTTTGGAGAGTCTCATTTTACCTTGTGCTCCCACGTAAATAGTTGATTAAAAGCTGTCTTTTCTCTTGTCTTTTCTCTTTGTCAGCTTAATTCACACATCCTCAATTATTGAACCCAAGAGGGTAGAAGAAAGGTTTTCCTCTGACAAATCCTGCAATGTAAGTAATTTCATCTTCATTGTAGACATGAGGAAACTTAAGACTCATAGAAATTAGGAAACTTGCCCGAGTTCACTGAACCAGAGGAATCAAGATCTAAATACAAGGCTATATTGCTCCAGAGTATATATGCTAGTTATCAATTCATTTAATTATTCATATTGGGTCTAAAGGTTCTACCATCCCAAGTGCTTAAACACAATTCTTCCAAGACCCTACCACTGATGTCTTCATTCTGAATGTATTGGTATTTACCAGGAGGGACATTATTCAGATGACTGCAAGGTTTACCCAAATTTTGGGGTAAAAACAAAGTAAACAAAGCATTTAACTTTATTTTACTTCCTTCACAAACTGGTTTCTAAGGTTGGTATGTTTAATTCACTGGAAGAAATTCTTTACATACAATTGGAAAACTGACTCAAGGTGAAAGAATCTAGCATGAGTAAGACTGCATTGGTCATATGTTACAATGAGGAAATTGAGCAGACAATACACAGGACCTAGAGCAGTCAGAGACCAATGTCTCTGAAGCCCTAGACATGCCCCAACTTTGCAAAGGTGAAGAAGCTGCCCTAGAACATCCATTACTAACAGCCATAAAGGAAGGCAGCTAGCCAGGTCACAGAGAATTAACTGCAGCTCAGAGGATGAAGATTAAAGGAGGAGTAATCTGGAGATGGGGGTCAAAGGGAAGTAGGATAGAGGTGCAATGGCAGAAAGAAACTTCTTGTGATGGACACAGAAAAACAAGTAGCCTGCAAAGCACTGGAGTAGGTAGCACCACAGAGCTAACTGTGTTACAAGAAGCTGGAATAAATATTACTACCTTCCTCCAGTGGAAACAATTGGGGTGAACATGGAGAGATTTCCAGGATATTTTTGAGAAAAAAATCAAATAACAAAAAAATATGTACAATATGACACTATTTTTGTTTTTAAAAATCCATAAAGCATCCAAAGAAGACATACAGATGGCCAGTAGGCACATGAAAAGATGCTCAAAATCACTAATTATTAGATAAATGCAAATTAAAACTACAACGAGGTACCACCTCACACCAGTCAGAATGGCCATTATTAAAAAGTCTACAAATAACAAATGCTGGAGAGAGTGTGGAGAAAGGGGAACCCGCCTACACTGTTGGTGGGAATGTAAGTTGGTGCAGCCACTATGGAGAACAGTATGGAGGTTCCTCAGGAAACTAAAAATAGAATTATCATATGCTCCAGCAATCCCACTCCTGGGCATATATGCAGAGAAAACCCTAATTTGAAATGATACATGCACCCCTATGTTCATAGCAACACTATTCACAAAAGCCAAAACATGGACACAACCTAAATGTCCATTGACAGATGAATGGATAAAGAAGATGTGGTACAGATATACAATGGAATACTACTCAGCCATAAAAAGGAATGAAATAATGTCATTTGCAGCAACATAGATGCAACTAGAGATTATCATACTAGGTGAAGTAAGTCAGAAAGAGAAAGACAAGTGCCACATGATATACTGACATGTGGAATCTAAAATATGGCACAAATGAACCTATCTACAAGACAGAAACAGACTCACAGACATAGAGATCAGACTTATGGTTCCTAAGGGGAAGGGGGAAAGGGAGAGGGATGGACTGACTGGGAGTTTGGGTTGGTAGATGCAAACTATTACACTTAGAATGGATAAACAATAAGGTCCTACTGTATAGCACAGGGAACTGTATCCAGTCTCCTGGGATAAACCATAATGGAAAAGAATATAAAAAAACCAATGTGTGTGTATATATATATATATATATATATATAACTGAGTCACTTTGCTGTACAGCAGAGATTGGCACAGCATTGTAAATCAGCTATACTTCAATTTAAAAAAATCTATAAAGCAGTATATATTTCCCAAGCGTACATATGAATATCCATCTGTAAATGCATAATAAAAAGACTGGAAAGCTATTGTGGAAATAAACAAATGAGAATGATAGAAGGATATTTATACAGGGCTTGCTATAGCAAGGGAGTCAGCCACCATCACTGATATTTGGCAGAGGCTGAAAGACAGGCAGGGGGGTGGTAAAAAGAAGTATTATAGTGGGAAAAGGGAAGTCTTCAGGTATTCTGTGATCAGAAATTGTTGGCATGGAAAGCTAGAGGCTGGCTAACTTGAAGCAGGGGTATCTTATGTGATTGGTTTAGGGAACGTACTTTGCTCTCTCTAGTTGGTCCTGAGTTGGAAGCTGACAGTCATCGACCAAGCTCAGACACTTCTGGACCAATTGCTGCCGAACTTGTGGTTTGACTTACCAGTCTGGGTGCTAGAGAGAGTGTGTGTCAGAGTTCTATTGATATACATGGTCTGGCTCTTGTTCATTTGTATATTCAGTCCCTCGTTATGCACTAAACTGATATTACTAGTTACCATTAGCAAGGTGGGAAGGGGTATGGTCATCAAAGACTAAATTCCTTACCTGTAATGTTTTACTTTCTTATAAGGAGAATACATTTACTCATTTTTTAACTGTGCAATTTTTTAAAATTCTGAAGCAAAATGCAGAAGGACAGTAGTTGCCATTTCTAATTCTTACAACACTGCAAGATGGGTCCTATTGTTATTTACTCTTGAGAATACTAAGGCACTAGGAAGTTAAACTGCCCAAGATGACACAGTTGATAAATAGCAGGCAGAATTTAGTTCCAGGTATATCTGATCCTAAAAGCTACTTTTCATTATGCCATGCTGCTGCTTACAAAAGTATAGTTATTCCATCATTAAAAGAGAGAATGGTCAGTTATACCATTTACAAAGGGTAAGCATAAGACATTTTGGATTAGCACAATATTAGCATCTATTAGTACATTAGACTCTATCCACCAATATGATATTAGAACTCAGAAATGATTGCTGCCCTTTTCAAATTGAATTTATAAAGCTATCATATAACAGTCCTGAATGAATTATTACAAGTCTGATCCTTCGTATTTCTGGAAGGGTAGCTTTGGCTTTTGAAAGAGATAGCGTCTAAAATGCAGTTATAACTAGTGAGAAAACAGGATAGTATAGAACCTTTTTCTATCTTTCAAGAATTCCTTGCAGAGCACAATTTGTCACCTATACTGCTGAGGAAATGGCATGTGCCAATTTCTCCTCTAGGAGATGCTAATGAATCCATTTCCTATAGGTTTAAAGCACATGAACAAGTTGACTGTTTTTCATGTGTTAATGTAGCTAACCTAACTTCATCAAGTTGATTAAGAGCTTATAAATGTGTTATATTTACCTCTGGCTTAAGGAGTGCAAACCAACACTGAATTCTCCTCTTTCTTTAAATCTTTAATTGGGATCACAGGTTATGATGGCCTATGAACTTTTAAGTAATTTTCATAACAAGTAACTATAGTATTCACATGAGACAACAGATTATCTATAAATATTTTTGTTATTTTTCTGTCTTGAATATTATCTCCGTGATTTACACAATAATCTAGTGGTTCCACACTGAAAAGGCACATTAAAGTCATCTGAAGAGTTTAAAAAATAATATCACTGCTTCACCCCTCTCCACCACCAACTCTCACCCAAGAAATTCTGATTTAATTGGTCTAGGGTAGAGTCTCTGCATCTCTATTTTTAAAAAGCTCAGCAAGTGATTCTAACCTGCAGCATGAGTTGAAAAGCACTGCTATAGATAGACTGTGAAGATTAATAAACAGAAACCTTAATTAAAATAGAGTCAGGAGGCCAGAAGGGGGAGCTCTCATGCCCTAAGAGGATAGCAGAGACCAACAGGACTCCTTCTTCCTGCTTGGCAAGAGCTCAGCCAGTGAGAGACTGTCACAACTCAGCCAATGAAAAGTCACTATACTTCCAACTCTCAATTCTTCCAAAGGACTCTTTGTTCACTATAACTCTCTCAACTTCCTTTCCCCTCTTAAAAGAATTCTCCTCTCCTTGTGGTTGGGGACTTGCTCAGGGCACACCAAAGTGGTAGACTACAAATTGCAATTCTTTTGTTGATCCCAAATAAAACCATTCTCACTGGAGAAATAACTAGCAGTTTATTTGTTTTAGGTCAGTTAAGACCAAGATAGTTGTAATGCAAAGGATTTCATGACGCAGTTGTTTAGTTTGTTTGCCAGCATCCATTCCTTTGGGGAATCATTGTCTCCCCTGCTATGAGGTCTCGGCAAGACTGACTTTACCCCTACCCATCCACAGCCAGTCCTAGTCATACGCACACAACCCAGTTCAAGGTAGTCCAGAGCGTGGCGGGAGACCTCCCCGAGAAGTTTCTGTCAGTTAATGGGAAGTGTGAATGACAAAAGATGTTTATCCTCTACCCATCTTAGGTTCAATGGCGGGGGTTTAAACTGACAAAAGAGAGATTAACAAGAGAAAAACATACAGAAGTTTATTAACACATGCATTGCACATACACACGGGAAAGTTCAGGGATGAATAAGTAACTCAGAGGTGTATTTAGAAGTGGGGTTTATATATGCTCTTAACAAAAGAAAAAAATTTGTAGAGAAGTGACAAGACAAAGGAAAGGGTTTTAGACTTCTAAGGGTAGCAAACTGTGGGAAGGTAAATATATGGGGAAACTAATGGAAGATAAGGGCTAGTTGGTAAGGTATAGTATGTAGATTCCTCTGGTGCCATCCCAGGGCTGATAAGAGTCTAGAGTTATCTCCAATGACTAAGGGTTGTTCTGCCCTTTGTGGTACAGATGGGGAGGCCAGAGAGTTTTTCTTGTCTCTGTTTTTTCTCACTTGCCTTCAGCTCAAAATAATCCATAGGCCAGAGTGGCATATTTTAGGGTGGTACACTCTGAACCCTTTCAGAAGTCCTCTTCTGTGACTGTAAGCTGAAAGGACAATGTCAGGAATGGCTTATGGCATCTTTATTACTGCATGGAGGAATCCTTCACCAATGGAAGAGAAGTGATGCTAACGTACGAAGAGAAAAAAAAAATCTAGAGTTGGAGAAAGAGCTCTGATTTTCATTCAATAAATATTTATTTACTATGTGTGTTGGCTGGTGGTGAAACAGAGCAGGACCCTATGGTCCTTGCCCCTTACATCCTCCA